GAAGACGTATGATTTTAAATTTAATCATTCGAAAAACTGTCTCCTGTGTATAAAGCGGTAAGGTCAAAGCTCTGATGAAAAATAGTCATTTGTCCTTGCTTATCCAGAACTTATAGAAAAGAAAGAAATCGTAATACAGTACAATAAAGCAGAAGCATATATATAAAGGGTTTGGAATGGAACATGGGGATCATCATTAGCTGGGTTGCTTAGGATATATATATATATATATATATATATATATATATATATATATAGTATTTCTTTACTTTAGAGAGAGGAAAGGAAAGAGAGAAGCATCAATTGTTTGCCTCTAACATGCACTCTGACGTAGGTATGTGCCCTGACCAATACCTCCACCCCTGACCAGGATCATGCAGAATATTTATATGAATAACAGGCACATTGGGTAGTTCTAGAGTGAGGACTCATACCATCTTGGTCTTGGTCTAGTTTAGCTATGAGCCACCTAGGATAAGTCATTTTACTTCATTCGGTGTTTGCTTTTTTAACTATGAGAAGAGATTGTTGGACTAGCTCAGCAGTTCCCTGATTAATGGGACAAGTAAAGTTTTTTGATGTTGAACAAGTTAATTTTTTATTAAAGTCAAAACCAAATTCAACAACATAACAACCAGCTTCCATCTGCTATTAAAATTTTTAAAAAGTAAATAGAGGGTATATTTAAAATGAAGGCAGTGTGTGTATGTAAGTGTCTGTGTTATGTGTGTGAGAGAGAGATAATTTATATTAAAACTAACCAGAGTGCCTCATTTTCTTTTTTCTGATTTTGATGTAGACTGATAAGAACTTCATCATATAGTTGACCTAATCAGCATTTTGGAACCATAGATTAGCTGATACTTCCCCTTCTGAGAACTCAAACTGGGATAAATTCTCAGTTATCCTCTGCCTATAATTGTTGAGCAAGCTAGTTAACACCCCAATACTCTGTCTTGTCATTAAATGTACAACATGTTACTGGGTCTCTGTCAGAACAATTCTTGTTGGGTACACATAGGTAGGACAGAAAAAACATGCTGTTGGAAGCTGGCAGAATAGTCTTCTGGTTTGCATTTTATCACTCCCAGCTACAGGAGCTTGTTCATGTCATCAAACCTTTCTAAAAATCATCTGGAATAATGAAATGATCACACTGCCTTACCTATTTCACTGAATTATTATGAAGTAAACAAGATATTTTATTTTTATTTGTTATAAACTGTAAAGCTACATAAATTTTAAGAATAAAATAGTGATATGTGAAATCCCCCAAAGAGATATGAATTTGATAATATTTTAAAGAAGATTGTAATATTATGATTTTGATAATTAAAATGACTTTCTAAGAACTAAATTACAAAAATCACAAGCCTAAAGATGTTTTTAGCCCTAGCTGGTTTGGCTCAGTGTATACAGCCTCAGCCTGCGGACTGAAGGGTCCCCAGTTCAATTCTGGTCAAGAGCACATAACTGGGTTGTGGGCTCAATCCCCAGTAGGGGGTGTACAGGAGGCATTGGATAGATGATTCTCTCTCATTGATGTTTCTATCTCTCTCTCTCCCTTTCCCTTCCTCTCTGAAATGAATAAAAATTTTTTTTTTCCAAAAAAGATGTGTGTCTGCAAAATCATGAGGAAATAAAAGGTATTTAATCTACCCCAAGCATTTCCTGGTCTTATAAAATCTAGGATAACAGTATAATCATTGTCAGCCATCCAAATATATCATTTCTTTCTCTTCACATCTGAAATTTATTAGCACTTTCGCATTGAACAAATGTTAATAGAGCCACTAAAATTTAAGTCCAACAAATATAAAAGTAAGCAAACTGGTAATTAGGACTTTGACAAAGACCCCTATGAAGTAATGATGAAATGTAAGCAGTAACTTCTTTTCTAATTAAAGGAAATGTGCCTCTTCTTGTTTGGAGAACACTAATTATCAAAGATTTGGCAGAAGTCTGCCACTCCTAATTGCATGAAATAAGCAAACTGACATTTCTGAAAATGGCACTGATCACAACATAGTGTAGCTGAATAAGCCTTCTACAAGGCAGCTGTTCTGATGGTTGGTTTGCCGTTTGTCACTGAAAACACTTTATTCTTGTTATTTCTCTGTGAACTGTTTTTGTGAGTTATTGAAGTATAATTTATGCATGTTTAGAAACAGTGCATTTTTTATTTTTTAAATTACATTTTTATACAAATTTACTGTGGTGACATTGGTTAATAAAATTATACAGGTTTCAAGTCCACAATTCTATAATGCATCTTCTGTATATTGCATTGTGTGTCACCACCTCAAGTCAAGTCTCCTTCTATCAACATTTATCCCTGCTTTCTCTTCTATTGCCTCCCGCCACCCACCTTGGCCTTTGGTAATCACCACACTGTTTTCTGTGCCTATGAGTCTTTCTTTCCTTTTTTTACTTTGCTTAATCCCTTCACCCTCCTTACCCAGTCACAAACACCCTCCCCTCTGGCAGCTGGCAGCCTGTTCTCTGTATCCATGAGTCTGTCTCCACTTTGTTTGCTAGTTTATTCTGTTCATTAGATTCCACATATGAGTGAAATCATGTGGTTCTTATCTTTCTCTGACTGGCTTATTTCACTTAGGTTAATACTCTCTAGGCCAGGGGTGGGCAAACTTTTTGACTCGAGGGCCACAATGGGTTCTGAAACTGGACCGGAGGGCCGGAACAGAAGCATGGATGGAGTGTTTGTGTGAACTAATATAAATTCAAAGTAAACATCATTACATAAAAGGGTACGGTCTTTATTTTTTTTTTTTAGTTTTATTCATTTCAAACGGGCCGTAGTTTGCCCACAGCTGCTCTAGGCCCATCCATGCTGTCCCAGAAGGTGAATGCACCTGATCACATCTCACCTGCATTTTAACACATTGTTTGCGGGTAGTTTTTATCACGCGCTAACAGGTGGCACAGGCCATTTTTGCTAATTTTTTGCGCAAATGGCAACATTCAGTAAAATTAAATACGTAATTTACGTATTTACACGTTACCCACATTCTACGGCTAGTCTATAAAAAAATGTATTAATACGTGTCCCGCGCTCTACTACACTGGTAGAATGTATAAATACGTTTCCCGCATACAATGTGTTAATATTCACATCCTATATAATAAAAGCATGATATGCTAAGTGTCCCGTCGACTGGTCGGCCATGCAACCAATTAAAGTGTGATATGCTAATGATATGTTAAGGCCTCTCAACCCCTCGCTATGACATGCACTGACCACCAGGGGGAAGACAGTCAATGGGTTGACCAGTTGCTGTTATGTGCACTTACCACCAGGGGGCAGACACTCTGACTAGTAGGTTAGCTTGCTGCTGGGGTCTGGCCAATTGGGACTGAGTGAGATGAGCCAGACACACCCTGAAGCCCTCCCACGGTCCCTCCTCAGCGGACCAACCTCCCACGTCCTTCCCTGGCCCTGATCATGCAATGATCAGGTGGGGTCCCTCGGCCTGGCATGCACCCTCTCCCAATCCAGGACCCCTAGGGGATGTTGGAGAGCCAGTTTCAAATTGATCCCACAGGACATGCAGAGGGACCCCACTGGTATATGAATTCATGCACCAGGCCTCTAGTTTAAAATAATTATTGCTCACTAAAATGGGAACTAGACTTTTTTTTCAGAGCAGGTGATTTCAGATACATTTTCTGTAATTTTCACGGAAGACATGAAGATAAAATGTAGCTGCCTTGATATGCACTTATATGAGATTCAACATTGGAAGGCTATCTTCTTCCCAACATAGCAGTTATTATATGTGTTGTAACTTTTTAAATATTGAAAACTGTACATTGAATTATATTTCCCATGATGATGTGGACAATTTTTGTCTTGTTCCTATTCTGTCTCCAGTGCCTAATAAGTTGATGGTGTCTAGGAGATATTCAATAAAGCATTGTTGAATGAATGAAAGAATGATTTGCAATACTTCATATTTCAAATATGATGGAATGTTTGAAAAATATTTCTGACTTCTGATATACAACTTTAAAATACAGAAAAAAATCACATGAGTGACTAGTAGAAACTCAAATTTTGAGTGACTTCCTTCACCAATATGAAACAAAGTCAATGGAATAAAGGCAAACAGATATATAATTTAGTATTTTTCTCCATTAACATTCAAAATGATGATTTATTTTAAATGCTATTCATTTTGAAGAAAAGCAGTTCATCCTTATACATCTAGTTGAAGAAATATGTTTTAATACCATAGAACATTTGTTTGGTTAATGTGTTTACATTCATAAATTATAAATAATAACTCAGTTACTTAGACCAAAATTTAAGGTGTAAAAGGAGCGCTTCATATAATAAATTTTGGAAAAGCCACACTAACAATTTTAATTCATATTATTCTAATTCCATCAGTCATAAAACACCAACTAAACTGATATGGTTTTGGGATTCCAATTGAAATGGAAAGAACTTCCAAAGTTTGAATAAATTTTCAAGTTGTTGATGCAACAACATGGTTGCATATTTATATAACTTTAAATGTAGATCTGTGACCATGTTTGGTTTATCAAAAGGATCTTTACGTGATGATTTGGCAAAAGCTTTTCTCTACTGACGGGATATGTATATGAAGGGTACAGATTTACAAATAGCTTGCACTTAACACTTATCAAAACAATAACTTTCTAAAACAAGAACAATGAGGTATAATATACTGTATACTAATTATTTGAGCCATACTTTTACAAAATATTATTTTTTTATTTTATGAAGAAGAGTAATTAATAAAAATAATGTGTTCTGGTTACTGAGAAAATCAGACTTGGTTGGAAAAGGTAAAGCAGATATTTTAAACTATAATAGATATAATACCTAGAAAAGAAAAACATGATAATTGTAAAACTATCACTGCAACAGTAATTTCCTTGTAAACAAATCTTTTGTGACTCTGAAGTAATGTGCCCCATTTTTCTGACTGAAATGGCTTTTATTCTCATACTAGATCTAGACAAAGTGCCAACAGAACTTCCCCCTGACACTACGCTGCTGGACCTGCAAAACAACAAAATAACTGAAATCAAAGATGGGGACTTTAAGAACCTGAAGGACCTTCATGTAAGAATTTTTTTAAATTTTTGAGTTGTAACAAGATCTGACTAAAAATATTTTTCAAAACAAAACTTTGGTAAGGCCAAGAGTACTATGTGGTAATAAATAAGCACCTAAGTGTTTACTCAATTCTCTCCTTAGAATTGATAGAGGAGCATATCATAATCATTAACCCCTAAAAATCAGCCAATTTTTTATATATATGGCATATATACTTAGTATTTTCTTCTTAAGACTACATTAAATCTTAATCTCTCTCATGTTTCATGAATAAAAGTTTTTATCTTTCCAATTATATTGTACTTCAATAGTGAAGCAAAATGGACTGATCTCAGTATTATTTTATTACTTTGTTTCATTGTGTCTTTTGTTCATATAAGAGGTACAAATAACTTTGTAAGGTTGCAGACTGGCACCAAAGAAAAAGGGGTAATCATGTATAATTTATCAAGTATAATTCCATCTAAATTCCATATATATATGGAATTTATATATATATATATATATATATGTATATATACATATATATATATATATATATATATATATATATATATATATGGAGAGAGAGAGAGAGAGAAAGAGAGAGAGAGAGAGAGAGGTTGCGTTGTATTTCAGATTATGCATACTGCATTCTTATCTGTAACTTTGTTTTTATTATGATTTTCACTTACCTCTACTCTAGTACACAGCAACACATCCATTCTACCAGTCAGGATTCCAGCAGAAAAGAATGATATTCTCTAAAGCATTTCAGTAGATTTTACTAATGACTATTTACAAAGGGGTATGGGAACCAACAAGGCATTGTGAGGTACTCAAGCCCACAAGGCCTCAAGGAAGTAGGGAGTCCCAAAGCCATGAGAAAGGTGGGGAGCTATAGTCCTATCTCCTGATTTCTTGCCAGTGTCTTTTATGATTGAACCTAACTGGAGGTCAGAGTACAAAGACATATGGGTGATGAAGTCACCAGAGGTCAGCCTCCCAGGACATAGAGAAGGGTCGAGAAGGACAAAGAATGAATATAACTGTATTTGGGAGAGGGTACATTAAAAAATGAGAAGTGACCAACCTAATCAAGTAGGTTTAAGCCTTGCTAAGGTAGGCTTCTGTAAGAGCATATGTACTATCTGTTCACATAGGGCATCAGAATCCCTATAAAATGCATTAAGTAGTCCAGCTCTCCACCTGTGGTTTCCCATCAAAATATCATTGCACGGTTAGTGTTAATAAGCTAGATTTCAATGCCCAAAGAGAGACTAAAAGTCTCATTGTCTCTGTACTCTACTGTACTAAGCCACTCTTAAAATATTGAGTCTGGTCCTGGACATTTTACGAAGAGCATTAACCTTAGAGCATCTGAAGAAATATCATCATGAGGATAAAGAATCTGGTAGTTATGTTTACAGGACAATTGGTGGAGATGTGGATATCTAAACTGCAAGCAAAAAGGTCATGAGTGACACATTTGAAGGACCATGCTGGAGAAGATAAAATGAAATCTCTTGCTTCAACTACAGGATGCCAAAACTGTCCTATTGACAACTGAATGGAATTTTAGAAATGCAGATTTTTGTTCAACATTAAAATTACAATGTAAAGAGTTAGAATTTTCAAATAATCCAGAGGATTGCCTAGTGATCAGTTACCCATCTGTGGAGATAAATACCATAGAAACACATTCTTAATCTTGGGAATATAAAGGTAGAACACTCTAATTTAACATTAATATCTTTCTTTCTTTTTTAATTGTGGACACTATTGTAGATGCCCCTCATTTCCCTCCCACTCTTTACCCACCTCTACTCAACCCCTTTCACCCTGCCTTTGACCATCACTACACTGTTGTCTGTGTACATGGGCTATGGTTATATGTTCTTTGGCTAATCTCTACACATTCATTCATCCAGTCCCCTCAACTCTGACCACTGTCATTCTGTTCCATGTATCCATGCCTCTGGTTTTATTTTGATAATCAGTTTATTTTGTTCATTATATTCCACGTATAAGTGAGATCATATGGTATTTGTCTTTCTTTGTCTGGCTTATTTTGCTTATCATAATAATCTCCAGGTTCATTCATGATATTGCAAATGGTAAGTGTTCCTTCTTTTTTACAGCCTGTAGTATTCCATTGAGTAAATGTGCCACCCTTTTTTTATCCACTCATCTACTGATGGACACTTACTTCTCTTAACTGTTATAAAAAAATAATTGAGGGGTTGTAAGAATAAGCAATACACATTAAAATAAAAGAATAGTCTGGTTGCTATCTATACTAATAAAACTGTAATATTCTAATTAAACCAGATGACCTTCCACAGAAGCAGGGGCTGCAAGGGCTGAGGCAGAGGAGGCTGCTGTGGCGGCAGGGCCTGAGCCCCTTTCACGAATTGCATGCATTGGGCCTCTAGTATATGATAATAAAAATATATGTTCAAGGGAAATGATGTAATTTAAAGTAAAATAAACTGATCATAATATACTATAGAATTCATATAATGAAGACAAAATGTAGTTAGCAACTTTGTGACAGCCAAGATGAGAAAGGCAATAAGCATTTATCCACTAGGAGAAAATATACAGTACTTTAAAAGGAAGCATAGATTTTATTTTTCTTAAGGTTTAAAGATTCTCACCTAACTGGTGTAGCTAAGTAATTGAATGTCAACCTATGAACCGGAAGATCATGCTCAACTCCCAGTCAGGGCATATGCCCAGGTTGAGGGCTTGATCGCCAGTGTGGGGCGTGCTGGAGGCAGCCATCAATGATTCTCTCTCATTATTGATGTTTCTATCTCTCTCTCCCTTTCTCTCTGAAATCAATAAAAATATACTAAAAACAAGATTTAAAGATTCTCTTTGGAACAGTTAACTAAAATAATAGCACATATAAAGTTATGTAGTCAATCTATTGAAGTGTCCAACAATATAAACACAATATGATATCAGTAGTGAATGATAGGAGCACCAAATATGATAAAAATACCAGGCTACCAGTTAGTGTATTGAGAAAATATGGAACAAAGAGGTCTTATAATATTAACAGAATTTTTAAAAGAAGTAAGAGGTTTTTTTATTTTTATTTTTATTTATTGATTGATTGATTGATTTTTGGGGTGTGTGTGTGTGTGTGTGTGTGTGTGTGTGTGTGTGTGTGTGCAAGAAGAAAGAAATGTAGAAGAAAACAAGAAGCAGGCAAATAAAAATAGAAACTGGCAGGAATGAAACATCCAAGCTCCAAAACAGTGGAGGAGCTATAGGTGTCAAACCATGACCTAATGGGATCCATCTCCACTGCTAGGTTATTGGGCCTGAGCCCCTACTCGCCCTCTCTGCTTTCATGTTATGGTTTCACTGAGAGTGAGCCAATTATGCTGCCAACAAGGTTTGTCAATAACTATTTCATTCGTCACTGGACTAAGCTAAAAAAGGAATATTATTAGTTTCAATAAACTAAAATATTTTTAAAATATTTTTATTTTTGTTTACCCTCAAGCTACTTTTCTTTAAAAAAATGTTTTTATTGATTTTTAGAGGAAAAGGAAGGGAGAGAGATAGAAACATCAATGAGAGGAAACATCAATTGGCTGCCTCCTGCATGCCCCCTACTGGGATCAAACCCACACGTAGGCATTCACCCTAACTGGGTATCAAACCAGTGACCGCCTAGTGCATGGGTTGACACTCAACCACCGAGCCACACTGGCTAGACAAGCTACATTTTTTTTTTAAGGAAGGAAAATTCTCTTTCTCTAATTCTTACTTCCTGTGTGTTTAACTATAATCTGAATAATTTGTTTAAACTCCTCATAACCTGAAATAAGAGATATCAGATATCTGGATGTTCTCATTAAATCTGGCATTTATAATAATGAGTCTTTCTTTTCCATATTTCCTTCTAAGTATGTTTTTAGGTAATTATCATCTTGGCAATCTCTACTTCAAAGTATACATTGGAAGAAGAGAGAGAGTTTATTAGAACTTTAAGCACTCAGAGGATGTTAAACAGCTATTTTTCTCTGTCTCTTTCATTCATGATCATTTTAATCCTTGTTATTATGCAAATAAACACTATAATTTCAGGTAGGAAAGCCACACTTGAATGAGAAGGGAAGAAAGAAATGAAAATTTAGCAAGGATTAAAATAAAAAGGATTTAACTGAAAAATGTCCTTTTTCCCCCTTAATTTGATCAGTTTACAATTCTCTGGTTCATCATGAGCTGTACATGTTGTAAGAGGAGTATTTTACTTATAGGAAGTAGAAAAACTACAAAGTTATATAAAATAATAAAAATTGAGTATTATAATGTCAACATTCAATATATTTTAATTGAAGTTTAAAAAATCTAGTAAGGACAATTTTCAAATTAAAAATTGTCAAAGATTGAATAATAAAAACACTTGTTTAACAATTACTACTTAATAGATAATGTTCTTAATACCTTATATGCATTAACTTGTTTAATTCTTATAACTATATTTTTTGAGGTAAACACTTTTATTTTTAAACTTTTTCTTTATGTTTTTTACTGGTTTTAGAGAGAAAGGAAGGGAAAGGGAGAGAAAGAGAGAAACATCGATAAGAAATATCAATCTATTGCCTCCTGCACACCCCCTGCTGGGGATTGAGCCTGAAACTCAAGCATGTGTCCTGACTGGGAATCAAACCTGTGACCCCCTGGTGCATGGATTGACACTCAACTACTAAGCAACACTGGCTAAAGGAGACGCTCTTGGTAATCCCCTTATACAGATGAGGCCACACAGGCACAGAGAAGTTGTTATTTGATCATAATCACACAGCAAATAAGAGCCAAAGCTTGTGATCTAAACTCAGGAGCAGTCTGACTTGATTCTGCGCACTGATAATTTCCTTTTAAATTTAATAGACACCATATAATTCCTAAAAACAACACCTGGTGCAGTGTAAGTGGCTTTGAAGAAATTGTACAAATAAATTCAGGTTTTCATATTTTTTCTTTCAGTTTTATTGAAATATAATTGACCTACAGTACTGTGTATATTTAAGATGTATACCATAAAGAACTGACTTATACATATTACAAAATGATTACCACAATAAGGTTAGTTAACATCCACCATCTCATATAAACATTAATTGTTTTCATGATGAAAAATTTTAGGATTTGCTCTCTTAGCAACTTTCAAATATACCATAGTGTTAACTATAGTCATCATGTTGGACATTATTACATCCACAGTAGTTATGTATCTTATAACCAAAAATTTGTATCTTTTTATCACTCTCTTGGATGAAGATGGTGAAAATACTTTTGCTCCTACTTCTACCTAATTTCTATTGCTCATCATATTTTTCATCACCTCTCCCTGCCTCCCAGGCTAGATCACTTTTGTCTTTAGTTACCAAAGAAATAGGTTGTCCTGATTTTTTAGTATGTGCTTCAATTTTAGATTGAATGGTACTCAAGGCATTTCTTACCCCAAACAACACACTCTCTTCTAATTCAACTTCTGTGGGCTTAAGTTAACTAATGATAATCCATTTCTGCTTGTTTTTCTTTTCATCAGCTGATCTGAAGAACACCTGGGGTTCACCTTTGACCTTTTTCTCTGGCAGCTGGACTTTGTCATTCGCCGGTGTAATTAGTTGGTTTTTTTTCCCATCTCAGCGTTTAGCCTTGCCTGTTACTTTATAACTATGCTTTCTTAAATACATATTCCTTTGTATGGGACTAACATTAACCATCTTTAGCAATATTGCATATACACGAATAACTTTTTCATGTGTGGATCTGTTTAGATGAGGCTTTAATTTACTTAGCCCTTACAATTTTACCTCATTATAACCAAAATTTTCAGTTTAATTTTCAAATTTTTTTTTATTCTGAAAACAGAGATGCTTTTCACTGGACTATAACTTTCAACTCACAATAATATTTGAAAGGTGCCTTGCAAAGAAGCAGTCTATACACATTGTCATTTTTAATCCTCATAACCCTCTAGGTCAAGCATGTGAAACTCAAAGGCTAACATGGACCAAATAACCTAGGCATGTGGCCTGCAGGCCGTGAGTTTGACATGCTTGCTCTAGGTGCTATTATTATTTCCACTTTACTGAAGAAATAATTGGGGACAAATGTCACACTGTCACCAAAATTTAGCAGCAGTTATTTCTGCATCATACTCATAGGTAGAAGCATTATCTAGTTATTATCTAGTCAAAGACATACTACGTTATTACCTGAAACAGCAGGTAATACATCATCAGGTTGCCTTTTTAAAACATATTTTCAAACCATGTTTAATGCATTTAATTATATCAAACTTTCAGAATTTTCTTCCACAGATGGCAACTGAAGATTTCATTTGCACTTAAAAGTAAGCATCTAGCCCTGACCAGTTTGGCTCAGTGGCTAGAGCGTCGGCCTGTGGACTGAAGGGTCCCAGGTTCGATTCCGGTCAAGGGCATGTACCTTGGTTGTGGGCACATCCCCAGTAGGGGGTGTGCAGGAGGCAGCTGATCGATGTTTCTCTCTCATGGATGTTTCTAACTCTCTATCCTTCTCCCTTCCTCTCTGTAAAAAATCAATAAAATATGTTTAAAAAAAAGTAAGCATCTAGTGTTTGGGGTGTCTTTTAATGACACAAGTCCTCTCAATCTTTCTCTAGCTCTGGCTTTTACTGATTTCCAGAACATTTGGCTTGTTAATATAAATTTATTATTATGTAAATCTTAATAATAAGGTTTTTGAACTTTCTCTAATATTCATTAGAATTTCTTAGGATTTTGTTTCAATCATCAATACATAGTTTAGGATTTGATAAAATTATATTAGTTATAATAAGTTTTAACTAGTCAAATGATGTGAACTACATAAAGATGTACATGGTTTAATTAACCAGCTGTTAGTAAGAAGAAAATATTCTTGCATTTCTGAAAATGAAAGTTATTACTTTTCTGTTACTCTAATTCCCTTTGTGTCCCTCTTCATTTTCATATATGCATAAAAGTGTACCACAAGCCCTAGCTGGTTTGGCTCAGTGGATAGAGCATTGGCCTGTGGCCTGAAGGGTCCCGGGTTCGATTCCAGTCAGGGGCACAGGCCTGGATGCAGGCTCAATCCCCAGTAGGGGGAATGCAGGAGGCAGCCAGTCAATGATACTCTCTCATCATTGATATTTCTATCTCTCTTTCCCTCTCCCTTCCTCTCTGAAATCAATAAAAATACATTTTTTAAAAAAGTGTACTACAATCGAAAATGAAGGGTCAGGAACCAGGGGTTGGGGGACAAGTGAGAAAGGAAGGGGCCATCTGTAATATTCTCAACAAGAAAAAGTTAAAAAAAACAACTTGATAAAATTACCCTCTTAATTAGGCTTAGTTGATAAGAGACTTAAAATAAAAAGAATGGTGTGGTCCTTAGACATACAGATTGCTGGAAGAAAATTAGATAGTCCAGAAATAGGTTTGGCAATAGCTATAAGTATATGAATAAGAAGTAATTTCCTATATTAGGAGAACTCAGAAACAGAAATTTAAAAAATTGCCAAAAGTATTAATATACTTGGCCATATAAAACCTTTATATGTAAAAAGGGCAAAAAAGTAGAAGAAAAGTATATTTATGCTCTGCATATCATATCAACTACACCTTTGTTCTCTTAACTAGCTATTAAAATTTATTAAAATTTAATAAAAGTGAGAAGCATTGTGATTAGGCAATCCCTTCCCTTCCCCCAAAATACAGTAAATAGTAGTAAATGAATGGAAACTTCTTAAAGCTTTCAAGAGACAAGAAAATGCAAAGTAAAGTAACAAGCTACAACATAATGTACTAATTTGGCAAACTTTTGAAACATATTATATCTAAATTTTTGAGTCTTCAAGAAAATTTTACTGTTTTGCACTGCTGGTGGTAATATAAATTGATGACAATTTATAGTGGAATCCATGACAACAGTTAATAAAGATGGATGTAGAGGTTGAAAAACTGAAGAATGGATGCCTTTTCAGGTATCTTATATCACTCTAGTAACTTCAATCTTTAGAAATATTGTATATAGTTTTATATATGTATGTTACATTATATTTCCCTCTCCTTTATTTCTGATGTTCAGGTCTTCATACACTTTTTTGTTATTGTTGACCCTCACCTAAGGATATTCTTTCCATTGCTTTTCAGAGAGAGAGTGGAATGGTGGGGAGGAGAAAGAGAGAGAAATATTGATGTGATGTGAGAGAGACACATTGAGTGGTTGCCTCCCACACACATCCCGACTGGCGGTGGGGAGTGAACCTGCAACTCAATTGAACCCAAGACCCTGAGCCACACAGGCCAGGGAAGATCTTCATGCACTTCTTAAAGGAATCACATCTGCTTGATCTTTACTGATTTCTTGCAACTTTGCAGGTTTCTCTGCTAGTTCCATGAATGGCATGACTAGACTACAGACTTGTTTTATATATGTGTGTGGAAGGTTTTGGAATTAAGAAAAGGTTGTTTTTGTTCCCTATCTACAGACATTGATTCTTGTCAACAACAAAATTAGCAAAATCAGCCCTGGAGCATTTACACCTTTGGTGAAATTGGAACGACTCTATCTGTCCAAGAATCAGCTGAAGGAATTGCCAGAAAATATGCCCAAAACTCTTCAGGAGCTTCGTGCACATGAGAACGAGATCACCAAAGTGGGAAAATCTGTGTTCAATGGATTGAACCAGATGATCGTCATAGGTACAGATATTCTTATAACTCTAAGACCAGGATTCACACTTTACCTTAAGACAGCGGTTCTCAGCCTGTGGGTTGTGACCCCTTTGGCGGTCAAACAACCCTTTTACAGGGGTCGCCTAAGACCATACTGCATATCAGATATTTACATTACGATTCATAACAGTAGCAACATTACAGTTATGAAGTAGCAACGAAAATAATTTTATGGTTGGGTTACAGCATGAGGAACTGTATTTAAAGGGCCAGAAGGTTGAGAACCACTGCCTTAAGAGATTCCAAGTAAGCTTTAGCTGGAGGGAGGTAAATTAGCTAGAATTTACATGTTTTAAGTCTATAGGAATGGCAGGAGCAGGGTCAGAAGAAATGGGATTTTGAATCTGTGCCTTACAATGTTTTTATTTCATGTCCTTAGGGATCTGGAAATGTAGAGAATGCTCTAGAGCTGAAGTTACCCTACTGTATTTAAGATGCTGTACTGAATTAGAGATATTTGGTGATACATTTTCATTTTGGGGATTATTGCTATTCTGAACATATATAAATCATTTGCTTTAAAATATAAAATTATAAAATTATGATTTATAATTGGCTTACAAAATGTTAGATTAAATTATTTAACAACACCTTTAATGTATTTTAGGAAAGTAATAGCCCCATAATTTGTAAATACTTGCTTTTGTTGATTTCTGGGCAAAGCTGTGTATGCAACTTAAATAATGTTGTTTTTGTTACTGCTACTCTTGCATAAATATTTGCTTTTTGTTGTTGTTATTTGTTGTTTGTTTTAGTAAGGGCCATTTTTACCAGATTTTACAATCCCTTTGAGGAGCATTGTTTTCCTTTCTCTTTTGATTTTCAGTCACGATGTTATTGAACCAAATTTCTGGTAAATTCCTTGTTGTAACAGACACTACTCTGACTTGCAGTATCCTAAAACTGTCCTCTAAAAGCTCTGCACTTACTGCATTTGTAGAACTGGGCACCAACCCACTGAAGAGCTCGGGGATTGATAAGGGGGCCTTCCAGGGAATGAAGAAGCTCTCCTACATCCGCATCGCTGACACCAACATAAACGCCATCCCTCAAGGTGATAAAAAATTCTCCAAAGCAATTTGAACATCTAAATCCTAAGGCTTTTACATATAAAAGCAAGCATTTTAGAAATTTGAATGGTGACTCAAGTGGACAACTTATTTCTAGTAAATTCTCTATCCCTCGAAGTGTTTCTACTGAGCCTGGCAGACTACTGGGCCATCTAGGCTCACTGTAGAGGTGAAGTCTTTTCTAAGATGTAACTTAATGTGCCATGGCTTTATATGATAGAACTGTGATTTCACAAAGAAAAAAAAGAACAGCTTTATGCAAAATATAGATAGATGAAGTAGAGTAGCTGCAATTTAAAGTGCAGGTCTTTCCACTCCTTCATGCTGCCAGATGGTTTGTTTTAAGAACAATCTTTGATTTTGCTGTCCTTGATGTATCTTCCTAAATATCCCTAAGTAACATATTTCATCACTGAGTCATCTATTTTTCTTGACTTTCTTATGTCCTTTCCCTATCCTAGGAGCTCTTTTCTCATCTTGCTTTTATTTTCTAAACACTTAATAACATTACAATTATAGGAACCAAATTTTATTCAGCACTTGACCAAATGCATATCATGGGTTCTGTTATTTGTGCCAAATGCTTTTCATGGATTCTGTTATATGAATCTCAAAACAATCCTCTGTAAGTAATATTTTTACACCTGTTGTATAAATGAGGAAAATGAGGCAGAAAGAGATGAAGTAAATTGTGATCAATGTCTTGGAGCTGGGAAGTGTCAGAGCTCCAGTGTTTGACTATTTCACTCTGCTGTCATATTAAGCCCTGTCTCCCTGCATATTTATATATGTATCTAACATATGAATCTACCTTTCTTAGGCTGAGACCTTCAGCCTGAACATCACCAACCTTTGGGGAGTTTTAATTTCTACATGTTATTTTCCATCACTGATAGACACAGGCAGTGGAATGGAATGGAGAGATTATAAATTCACTCTTGAGTTAGACCAGTGATTCTCAACCTTCATAATGCTGTGACCCTATAATACAGTTCCTCATGTTGTGGTGACCCCCAACCATAAAATTATTTTAGTTGCTACTTCAAAACTGTAATTTTGCTACTGTTATGAATCATAATGTATATGTTATGAATCATAATGAATATTAATAGATGTAAGACTTGTAATGCACACACATAGTATTTGGCCCAAAGTAAGCTGTCAGTATGTTTTGTCTTAAAATGAAAACAGAAAGGAAAGATAAAGTAACTATAGTTTAGGTTCTTTGGCTCAATGCTACAGTGCCAAGGCTAATGATGTTCTTTATAAATTTGACTCTCTCTATCCTATGCAAAGTTGTCTTCCACAGTCAAACTTCTTCCTGGCTATAACTTTCCTTTTGGGAACCTGACATCCCCAAAGGGAGACACTTAGAAACCAGGTAAGAATGATAGATGTGATGATAATTGTTGTTCTAGAGAGGCTACATTTTAAAAAACATCTTTGCATGGTAAAAGGGAAGAAAACATTTGCATTCATTGCTTTTTATATACTTAACTTGTTTTATTCATAGGAATTGTTTAAAAATCCACATGTATTTATTCTATGGAGATTTAGGTGTTTGAAACCCTTTATTTGAAGAGTGACTGTGATTTCCTGATACTTATTCATCAGAATAATGCAATTGCGATTTCATTTCCTCCAGTTAAGGGCATGCTATTTTAACTCCCTTGGGCTGTCTGGGAACTTACTACATTCCTACTTAGTTGCTAGATAATCTACAGCATTTGTAACTTTGCATCTCTGTTTCCTCATCTATGAAATGGGACAAATGAAAAATAATTTAAATATTGAAAAAATTAAAGGAGCTAAATTAGAAAAAGTGCCAATGTCAGTGTTTGGTACACAACAGACATTCAGTAAATAAAATCTTTCCTTAGCATCATCCATATATAGAGACTAACTTGTTTTCAATCAAATATGGACTAAACTTTTACATTAAATAGACAATCTTAATAGACTTCAGTGGGATGCAATGAAAATTTGGGACCAGATATAACCTGTGACTTTCCACTTCTGTTCTTAGTGGGCAAATAACCAACAGTTTCAACTAAGCAGACATTAGTTCTACATGTAACCAATTTGCAGTTTTCTTTGTAGTTGTAAGTGGGACAATATGCTCTTTAAAAAGTTGTATAAAAACATGATACCTCCTCAGATGGCTGGTGGAAATGAACATAAAATATGTAAACTTTTATATTTATATTACTACATTTTTAGAATTCCTCGTCATTCAAGAAGTTCTGTCTAGAGGTTTAGTACATACTTTGGATCTAAAATGATTTCCCAGGTGCTCTACATATGGCACATAACTTGATTATAGGCCTCTGCACTCCACTTCTAACAGTCTTGATTTTTAAAATCCAAGGAAGCTTTAGCTCTTTCTGGACACCCATGCCTGAGGCATTTGATATTTTTATGGAAAAGTTGATTAAGACTAAGGCCAATATATCAATTAGTGTTTATTTTATTTTTTTTAAAATCTTTCTACTGATTTTTTTAGAGGGAGAGAGAAACATCAATGTGAGAAAGAAACATCAATTATTTGCCTCCTGTATGTACCCTGACTGGGTACAGAACCCACAACATGGGCATGTGCCCTGACTGGGAATTGGACCAGAGACCCTTCAGTGCATAGGATGATGTTCAACCAACTGAGACACACTGGCCAGGGCATCAATGTTAGTTTTTAATGATGATCATTAATGAAATAACTAGTTAACTTATATAGTCTATAATTTCTTTTTATAGTTCAACTGCTCATCACTTCCTTTTAGAGTAATTATAGTTTATCAATGACAGTGTTAGCCCATTAACAAAGGTGTAATAACTTAATAAGATTCAGGGCTTCACTGCAGTTCCACAATTGTGTCCTAACAATTTGTAGGAGGGAAACATCTTCTACATGATAAGCACAGTCCATGTTTTTGTTAAAATCAATCTAGGAGAAAAGTGAAGATGTCTCATACTACTTTCAAGAGCATCTTATCTAATAAAAGAGAAACATGCAAATTGACCATACCTTTGCTACATTCATAAGCCATGCCCACCAGCCAATCAGAGCAACTATATGCAAATTAACCCAACCAAGATGGCGGCAGGAAGCCACAGAGCTGAAGCAAGCAAGAGGCTTGGTTGCCCTGGCGATGGAGGAAGCCAAGCTCCCCGCCAGCCTTGGCCGGCTGTGGGCTCACTAAAGGCAACAAAGTTTCAATTATAAAAGAAAAATAAATCCGAGATACCTGTTTCCAACCAGCCTCCACTGGGAGCTTGGGTAACTGGGGGCTGTGGCCAGCCTGCAAACAGCCATCAGCCTCTCACCCAGACTGGCCAGGCACCCCAGTGGGGATCTCCAACCTGAAGTGGCTGTGGCCAGCCTGCAAACAGCCATCAGCCCCTCACCCAGGCTGGCCAGGCACCCCAACAGGGACCCTCACCCTGATCTGGGACACACTTCAGGGCAAACCAGCCAGCCCCGACCCGTGCACCAGGCCTCTATCCTATATAATAAAAGGGTAATATGCAAATTGACACTAACAGCAGAACGACTGGGAATGACTGGTCACTATGACACACACTGACCACCAGGGGGCAGACGCTCAATGCAGGAGCTTTCCCCTGGTGTTCAGTGCGCTCCCACAGGGGGAGCTCTGCTCAGCCACAAGCCAGGCTGATGGCTGCCAGTACAGCAGTGGTGGTGGGAGCCTCTCCTGCCTCCTCAGCAGCGCTAAGGATGTCCAACTGAAGCTTAGGCCTGCTCCCCACTGGCAAGTGGACATCCCCCAAGGGCTCCTGGGCTGTCAGAGGGATGTCTGACTGCCAGTTTAGGCCCAATCCCCCAGGGAGCGGGCCTAATCCAGCAGGTGGACATCCCCTGAGGGGTCCCAGACTGTGAGAGGGTGCAGGCCGGGCTAAGGGACCCCCCCCCCGAGTGCAAAAATTTTTGTGCACTGGGCCTCTAGTGTATTATTATAAAAAGGATGAAGGGAAATAAGGAAATGCAAAACTAATGAACAAGATGAAAAGCAAGTTGTTTGCCCTAGGTGGTTTAGCTAAGTGGATAGAGCATCAGCTTGGGGACTGAAAGGTCCCAGGTTTCATTCTGGTCAAAGGCACATGCCTATCTTGTGGGCCTGATCCCCAGTATGGGATGTGCAGGAGGCAGCCAATCAATTATTCTCTCTCATCATTGATCTTTCTATCTCTCTTTCCCTCTCCCTTCCTCTCTAAAATCAGTAAAGCTTTATAAAAAAAAAAAAGAAAAGAAAATCATTTGTAACTGTATGTCTTTTAGAAATTATGCTTACCTGCTATTTTAACATTTTGTATCTATATTCCAGGTCTTCCTCCTTCCCTTACTGAATTACATCTCGATGGCAACAAAATCACCAAAGTTGATGCAGCTAGCCTGAAAGGACTGAATAATTTGGCTAAGTAATATTTTATATTTTTTAATAGCGTTCTATCAGTATAATGGCTAGGTATATTAATGCCCACATGCTCAGAATTAGAAACATGATTGATTTTTTACTGTACCACATTTTTTGTTGTTGTTTACAACAACCTCAGACTTCAGCTAGCCCAATTATTATTGTTAAATAAACACTAATGAAATAGTATACTTACTGTAACCAAGATCAACCTCCTAGTTTATGAATGCCCTATTATTGCAAAATTAAGATATATCATACTACAAGGCATTCAATTAAATTAGTATGTTCATTCCATATGTTCTTAGTTGCATTGAAGGTTAAGTAAATTATAACACAATGTTCAGAATTTGAAAATGCATTAAAATTAAAGCTACCAAGATATAGAAATATTGGGCATCTTATACTACATTATAGAGTTAGAATACTATTCATTATGATGAGATTCCCTAATGCTTATTCTGAAGAGTTTAAAATGTCTCTGGACCTCTAATGTAGCATAAAATATATTTTTAAATGTCTGGCCCTTTTTCACCTTTTCCCCCTTTATAAAATGATCACTAATGCCTGTCTTGCTTTCTAACCTGACTTTAATCATTCATATATTTGCAACCTGGTTAAGTAATAAAAAGAGGAGAGTGCTGGAAAACTCTTTCAGTTGTCTTCAAGGACACTCTGTTCTTGAGTCACATGCATTGCTGAATGTTTTTACAGAGAAGCATGGTGTTATGCCAAATTGGCTAACTCCTCTTTTTATATGTAAATTTCATGGTAGATAAATAAATACGAAGTATTCAGTTCATCTTTGAGAAATATTTACTCTGGGGTGGGTATATAATGCAACTTTTCCTATTTCTGTGGATATTTTTCAATGACCCAGTGGATGGTGAGGGCTGAAGATGAGCACATGCTAAAATCCTTTAATTAAAACTATTTTAAATACAGCTTCTAGTGTAGAAAGTATTTTTCAAAATAGTGTTATGCATCACCAACCTTTCTTTGTTGGTTTGATCCCTTCAGCTACAGGGAAATGTTGGAAGATAGGTTGCATTGCTTATTGTATGCAATTGTCTTTAGGACAGCTGTTACTATTGGATCAATATTTGGATGAATAGTAGGGATAAGAATTAACAATAGTCTAATGTTCTAAATATGGTAACTCATTCATACTCATTGTACCTTTTTAATAAAATAGTTATTATTCTGAACTGAAAATGATATGGGTATTTTGAAATTCTGCACTTAAATATTAATGTCATATGCTTTGTATCAAATAGAAAGAAGTATAAAGAGCTGGTAAACTTTGAAAAGGTCAATAGAAGTAAGGATTTCTGTTTAAATGGATTGAATTCCATTCATTAAATTAGAGAATATTGCGTCATTGGCCAAGCAAACTTTCCTTACTCTTAAATTTATCAAACACATCTGATTTTGGAATCAAGTCCAGAAAAATTTGTCTATTAAACCATGAAATCCTTGTGTTTTCTGCTTTTCACTGATGTTGGGACATGAGAAATATTTTGGTGCTAAAAAATCAAAACTATGACAAGAAGAAGAAAGCAGCCATTGATCTCAGAACATTGTTGCAGGGCACATATTCCAATGAGTTGTTGGGAACAATGGGGGAGAAAATAGTGTGTGTCCCTCTGCAAAAGGAAAAAATATATTTTCAGGCAGGCTTCTCGTTTATTACACACACACAGACACACACACACATATGTCATCATATATATCAATAAATATTATTATATCATCATCTCTCCCTTACAAGGTATGATAATCTTTGATGAAACGAATCATGGATTGTTGGTCCACGTGTCTTCTGCCCTCACAAGCTAGGATAATATCTTGAACATATTAAGTTCTCCAATATATAAGTAAATTATTTAAAAACTAAAGTCTCCTTAAATAAATTATTAGGCATAATACATTCTAAGGAATGTGTTATCCCAAAATGGATATGGGATTTAGAATGTTGTAAGAAATAGGAGATATGAGTTTGAAATAAAAAAGGAAAGGCTAGAAACAAGAGATGAATGCTTAAGACTAAGGAAGAACAAATATATTCTGAGTCAAGATTCCAGGTTAAGACTCTGTAGCTAAAATAAACCAACTCTACTATTAATTGCCTAAACTCAGTATACCTTAATCTCAGTTATTTCAACTACCAAGTCATGGTTCAAACTGGGAGACTTTGGTTACCTAAGCCAGCATCTAAACCTTAAAATGGCTCAAAGGTCAGAGCTAGCTGAAGGCAAGTAGAAACTATCCTATAAAATGTGCCCACGTCTCCTTCACTGCATTTGAAGAAACCCAATAGATTCTTCCTCTTTCTCTCCCTTGGAGCTTTCTGATCTCTTCCAATATCTTCTTGTCTAATCCCTAGAGATTTAGGCCAGAGATCAAGGTCAGAAACTGGGGATGTCGGAACCAGGTACATTCTGACAGAAACAGATGGTCATTGAAGAATTCTTTCTAAGTAGTATAAGATGCTAATCATGCTAACCTTTCTGGAAGGTAGGCTTATTGACTCATTAGAAACCTGTGCCTTTTATTTCCAAAAAATAAATGTATGTGCTAAATTTATAATTGCTTAATTTCCAAAGTAACCAAAATGATAATAGTATTTCTTTTATTTCTCTCCCAAATGTATCCACTATATTCATTATATGGAGAAATCACATTAATGGCTATTCATTGATTATTTCAAGCTCTATGTTAGTACTGAATATACAAAACAGTCACTTTGCTCAAGGAAAGACATACAAGTACACAGTCCCTTCCTTGAGTTTTACAAAAAAGTGACAGCAGGATGCTTAGTATTTGAGCACTTACTGGGGTACCAATTCAATCTGCTACTGTCAGAGGAATTTTAAAGAGGGTAACTCTAAGCTGAAATCTTAAGAAAAACTGGACTTTGTCCAAGTTCAGTAAATTTGGAAAAAACACTCTAGGCAGAGGGAAGAGTAAATGCAAAACTGAAAAATGTCCTTTTTTGTGAGTCGGTTAATCACGTGCCTGTGAGAAGGCATCCATGTGTGCTGAATGCCCTCGTTTTCTCTTTGCTGTTGCAGGTTGGGACTGAGCTTCAACAGAATCTCTGCTGTTGAAAATGGCTCTCTGGCCAACACTCCTCACTTGAGAGAACTTCACTTGAACAACAACGAGCTTCTCAAAGTGCCTGGTGGGCTGGGGGAACATAAGTACATCCAGGTAATGCAATGCCACTAACTATTGCAAATAATATCTAGTGAGCAAATCCTCTTCACTGGGATGCCAGGAGGTGGGGAGCTCTGCTTAGAAATCATTTAGCAAAGAGATATTTTAATGTTTCCACATAAATAGTCATTCTAGTTTTATACAATACTAGTGTCCCGGTGCATGGATCCATGAACATTGAAAGGAAATTAATTAGAAGAAATATTTTAATACTCCTATTTGCCCTTTTTCTATAATAGAAGTGTCAAACAAATTCACAATTGACAATGACAGATCGAAACACATGCGTGCAATTGGCACCAGCGAGAGCGTTAGATGTTATCGTGCATGTGCTGGTTAACTTAGCCTTTTATCTATATTTAGAAAAGGCTAATATGCAAAGTGTCCCATTGGTAGTTCGACCAAGACACCAAGAGTTTAATCGCAGGCTCTGACGTGTGCTGACCATCAGGGGGTGGTGTGGGACAAAAGAATGCCCCAGATGGCAGCTGGCAGCTGGGGAAGGAAGGCCCTGGGCGGCAGTCAGAAGGCCCCAGTTGGCCCTGATCTTTGGCCAGGCCTAGGGACCCTACGCATGCATGAATTTCATGCACTGGGTCTCTAGTACATATAGAATAAACTTGCTTAATAAGACCTGTTTTCTGATTTAGCTAAACTTTTTCCAGCCCAGTGAAGCATACCAACTTCTCTTTCAAGTAATTGTCAGCAAAACAGCAGTAAATATCACATGAAGCAGATTATTATTATAGCTCATGCAGAGAGAACAAAGGATAAAATATTTAACTGTAGCATTGTTTGACTATATTCTGCACAGTGAGAAAACTTGAAGTCATTTTCAAGGTCCACCATTTCTTACCTCTTTTCAGTCATGTCGTTTCTAAACTTTCTAAATCTCCATTTTCCGGCTAATGGAAAAAAAAAAAAAAAAAAAAAAAAAGGATTTTACTGAGTCTCCTATCTACCTACTCCAGGACTTCTGTGAGGATCAAAGGAGATGAAGCACAGGAAAATGCTTCACAGACATTTGGTTAAAGTGTAAAATGTTTTCACCTGGCAATAAAGCAAGTCATGTTCCTGGGCTGAAGAAACTCCAAGGAAGCTAGTCGCTAGGGAGAGGAAGCCAGGTATTGCTATGTGACTTTATTACCCAGCGCCCACAGCCACTGTTTCTTGGGCTAGGCTGGACTGTGGGCTGCATTTTGCACCATGGGGTCTTGGCGACATTGGCTGCAATTTGGTGGGGTGTTGCTCCTGGGTGGTGGCAGGGCCTGTGTCCCACTTGAGGGAAGCCGAGTGTTGGTTTGTTGGCACCATGTCCGTGGTGCCATTTATTTTTAAATGGCCAGTGTGCATCATGGCAGCTCCTGCATTGAGTGTTTGCCCCCGGTGGTCAGTGTGTTTCATAGCTACTGGTCAGATGGACACTTAGCCTTTTATATATATAGATAGGTCCAATTAATTTTTTTTTTAATTAAGGCTATTGCCTTAAACTTACTATAAAGCTTGATTCCAGAAAGTAATATTTTTTTCTGAGGTAGGTACTTTCAAGTCACAGATCAGTGTGATAACATACTGATTGGAGAAGATGATATAATCTGTGACACACAGATATGGAATAAAATCGTAGGTTTAACATGTAGCTTCAGCAGATATCATATAGGTCAAAATGGAATGTTTATGTAGCAATGTGACTGAATTAACTTTATATAAACTATGAAGTTAATCCTCAAAAGGATTAGAGGACACGGTTCAATGACCCGCTGTAGTAATAGAGCATTAAATTGTTTCAGAGGTTTACATAGGTACTTAGTTCTTTGGTGATTCAGAAATTAAAACTTGACACTGACACTATGTTATGGTAAAACCATTTTATAAAGTTGCTCTTTAGATAATCTAGTATCTCAACTTTATTACTTGGGGGCTCAAGATAGATTTATCTTTTACTCTGTTATCAATGATATCAATAAATTACTGATATTTATAAATGAGTTGTGACAAAAACTCCATATTAAATTGGTATATCACAATTTTCATTATTTTATGCTAATTCTTTTTCAGTGGGTGCTTGATGATGGTAGAGAAGAGAGTAAGCAGGTTTGAAGCCACAAGTAAAACCAGGTCTTTTGAAAGACCTAATAAGAATAGGTATAACAATGGTATAACAATTACCATCGTTAATATTAGAATTTTAGTTGGTGGTGGGTTTCGTTTGTTTGTTTTCATTTTTAGATCTCAGTATAATCATTCTCACCTTCTTGATTGCTCTTTTTCCAATGTTAGTCTAAATACATTACTTAAAGTTCATATAATCAATTCCATGTGTTTATTAAGAACATTTATGAAATATGATGGGATGGGATGGGATAGAATAGAATAAATTTAATAAAAATCACTGTCATGCTAAGTATTTTTAAAAATTGTTTTATATGCACAGATGTATATGTACTGAACCTCAATATATAATGTGTTTCATATTGTGGATCACAGTGGAAAATATATAAAATATGCTGGTTTGAAGTTTTTGTTGAATATCAACAAATATCATAGACTTCCACACAGGGTCCCACATTCAGAAGGTCATCACTCTTGGTTTTCCATATCTAATAGTTTGTTCATATACTCATTTTATATCTCTTCCTATAGGCATCATGTGATTTCAACCAACCTACTTCTTTTTCTATAAATTTATAGTTTAATTATATAGTTATTCAACATCACCACAATCCAGTTTCAGAACATTTACATTACCCTCAATATATTTTCTTAATTTTTAGTCAGTTCTGAATCTCATCCCCAGACACAGGGGACCATTAATCTTCTTTCTGTCTCTATGTATTTGCCTTTTATGGAGATTTTATATAAATGTAATCATGACAATGTTTGGCTGTTGTATCTGGCTTTTTTAGGGTATCCTAATGATTTTAGGACATCCACTTTATAGCATTTATTACACTTTCATGTTCACTGGTAAAGAGCATTCCATTGTACGGATATACTACATTTTGTTTTCTAGTACACTTATTTTTTTAAAAAAATATTTCGGTATTGATTTTTTTATATATAGAGAGAAACATCAATGAGAGAGGAACATCATCAAGTGGCTGCCTCCTGCATGTCCCCTACTGGGATCGAGCCAGCAACCTGGGCATGTGCCCTGGCCGGGAATCAAACAGGCAGCCTCTTGCTTCCTGGGTCTAATGCTCAAAGGCTAAGCCACACCGTCCGGGCATACACCTTTGATTACTGTAGCTTTTGATTATGTTTTGAAATTGAGAGTGAAGGTCCTCTAATTTTGTTCTAATTTTTCAAAATTGTTTTGGCTACTTTTGTTTCCTTGCATTTCCATGTAATTTTAGAATCAACTTGTTCATTCCTACTAAAACAGTCTATTAGGACTTTAATTATGAAAAATTAAAGAAGATAAAATAGAGATATTACATGCTTGTTAATTAGAAGACTTGATACTATCAAGATAAAAATTCTCCACTAGTTGATCTAAAAATTTCACACAATCCCTATTAAAGTCATGAACAAAACAGAAAAGGTTTTTCTCTTAATGGAGCTTTTATTTTATAGGAGGAAAACAGACCAAAAAAAAAACCACAAAATAAATATATAATGTGCTCTATAGCGATAATTGCTATAAAGAAAAGTAAAAAAAAAAAAAAAAGTGTAATAGCAACAGAGAATGGCAGAGTGGGATGTTTGGGGAAGACTTTTCTGCTAAGGGGAAATTAATTATACGAGGAAGTAAGCCTGGCAGGCAGCATGGGGAAGGTTATTCCAGGCGGAGGAAGCAGTGTATGCCGGCTGGAGGAGGAACCATGCCTTGTATATTAGAGGCGAAGCAAGTAGGCCAGGGTGGTTGGATTGAACAGTGAAGGGAGATGAGGTCAGAGTAGAAGGATATCAGGTCATGTAGGATTTGAATGCCAATGTGAGAACTTTGGATTTTATTCTGCATGACATGGGAAGCCAGTGGGATATTGATACAAAGAAGATATAAATTGGCTTAGTTTTAAAAGTAATTGCTTTGTGAACTAAAAGAAAATAAATAAATAACAGACTTGAGGAAGGCAAAAGAGGAAGCAGGAAGAATAATCAGTGCAACTTCAATAACACTGAAGAAGGTAATGGCAGCTTTGGAAAAGGATTTGGGAGTAGACTTGGGGAGAAGAACTGGATTATATGTGTATTTTACAGTTGGAGCTGGCAGGATTTGTTGGAGATGGACAGAGAGTATAAGAGAAATGAAGGAGTGAGGATAATGACAATGTTTTTAGATTGAGCATCTGAAAAGATTGAGATGCCATATACCAAAATGAGGAGACTAAGGAAGGGAAAAGCAAGTTTTAAAACAAAGAGAGCCATCAAAATTTTGGGTTGAGAAGTATTACAGTATTTAAACTGAAGGATGAAAATAGAAAAAAAGAATAAAGTAGTTACATGAAGAGCCTCAATGGATTCAGAGGAAGATAACTATTTTCCATTATTTCATGTTGCAGGTTGTCTATCTTCATAACAACAACATCACTGCAGTTGGAACTAATGACTTCTGCCCACCTGGATTCAACACTAAAAAGGCTTCTTATTCAGGAGTGAGCCTTTTCAGCAACCCAGTTAAGTACTGGGAGATCCGGCCAGCCACCTTCCGATGTGTCTATGTGCGCTCCGCCATTCAGCTTGGAAACTACAAGTAACTCCCAACAAAGCCCTTATTGTTATAACCTGGCAAAATCCCATTAATGCCATTGCTCAAAAAAGAAAAAAAAAAAAAAGAAGAAAATGAAAGCCAGATACTGAAATCTTAACTGCAATGTGGATGTTTTTCCCACATGACTTATCATGCGTAAAGCCAAATATGCAGTTAAAATAATTGCCTACAATAAAAAAGTTTTGCCTGTCATTTCAGAATCCTTTTTTGAAGCTTTCTGTTAATGTTAACTGAGCTATTGCAGATATTCTTAGTTCACTAAATGTAAAATTTGGAGAAAATATGTATGTCCAAAATTTAGTAAAGCTTTTCTTAACAATTTTCAGAAGAAATTAAATTTTAAAAGTATCAATCTTCTGTAACTTATAGGATGGTTAGTACCTTTGACATAAAGTCAAAAGTCAAATTCTAGCTTTGTATTAATCCCCATTATTACTGGAAAAGCCTTATTTGAATATGTAAATTCAACACAGGCTATGTAAAAATTTTGCTGTCATTATTTTGAAAAAAATAAATTCACAAGTTCACATTCAAAATATTACTATGGTATAAAAGTGTAATTGTAAACCTTCCCTAGACTTAATTTCCTTAAAAAATAGTCATTGCTTTCTTGAGATAAATAGCACCTTGTTTCAAGTTCTTAGATATTTACTCTGCTCCTGTCCTTTAACATTTGTGTATTGTAACTTACATGATCTATATTCAATGTCAAGCTGATAAAACACAAAACTGGCTTTTTCTGAGTGGTGTAGAAAACTGATATCTTATAGTTACTAAGATACTAAATCAGCTTTAAAACTCTCATGTGTATAATTAGGCTACTCACCTGAATATTTCTGTAATTCCTAGACATATTAGAAACATTTATTGCATCCAGTTAAACCTTCTTTCAATTTTAGAATTTTTTCTGCAGAGTTTAGAAGCAACTATCAAAGCAGACCATTCAACAAGCCTGGGGAATGGGATGATTGACCAAGAATAAATATTTATCAAAGAGTGTATTTATGCCATCAACATCTAATAAGTAAACATGGGAAGACAGTTTGTTTCTTCTACAATGTTGAATGTTTTATGGTTGTATATACTGAAAACTGAATCCAAACTGCTTTAAACTAAAAAAAAAAAAATGAAATACAAAATAGCCCTGCTATTAGGTGAGCCTTTAGCTCCAGTTTGATCCAAGTTCTACCTAACTGCCTCAGCAGTTCTTTCAGCTCTGACTTCCTACACTGCATTTTCTGGCTGGATTCTCTTACAGTTGCAAAATATAGATCTCCCCCATTATTTATCTCATTCGGGACACAAAAGAACATTAGCACAATATTTCCAGGAAAAGTCATGAGATTCTCTCTGATTATTACAAACCAACTTCACAATGCTGTAGTGTCAGTGAGCAAATATTGTTACTTCCATTTCATAGAAAAGTAAACTTAAATTAGTAGAAAGAACTTTCCTGTAGGTAAATACCTGATACAGACCTGGCAACAGAGCTTTCTCTCTTTTTCTTTGTACAAGGCAGGGTTTGGTAGAAAACTGAATTTACCCCAGAGAATTCACATGAAAATAGTTTTATGAAGGGATCATTACAGGGTGTGCAGAGTGTATTGCATCAAACAAGGGATGGTGAGGCACCCAGAGGCTGGCCTCTGGTGGACAGCCATTCCCACCATACAGCTGAAGGAACAGGGAAAGAAATTGTGTTTCTGGAGCCAAATGAGAGGACAGCTATGGAGAACATTCCTGTCCAGGGAGCCATGTCCCTGAAGGAACACAATTCTGTCAGAGGTGAGGTACTGAAGAAGGACATCTACTTTTCCTAATACAGATCCTTCCACTGTTCAAACCTGAAGGAAAGACAACCATGAAGAAAGCCAGGTAGATGAAGTCTTATCTGGAGCAGGCCAGAGAAGAGAGGAAAATGACCTGGTTGAGGAATTTGGAGAATAACTAGCTCAAGTTTTCTAATTGTAATTGCAGGGTTAGTGAACAAATTCTACCAGCCTACAATAAGAATTACACTCACATCATATGCTATCCCAGGCACATTTTCTGAACCACAGTTACTTTAGACTTTTTTGCATTGATCAGAGTCCTAATGCATAAAAAAGCATATATTTGATGAAACTTTGTCAAATGATTAGCTGAATCTGCTTTTCCATTCTTAACACCAAGCTATTTTTATAATGACTTTGACTAAAGCAGAGTTTACTCATTTAAATAAGTATGGTTCATGTTAAAAATCAAAGTGTAAACAGAAAACCTACACTGTCAATATTAAGGGGCAGTCAGTTATGTATTATACAAAAATTTGGCAGAAAACAAAAATAATATTTGGATAATGATGAGAATCATGAGAATTAATGCCTAGAGCTCTACTAGTAAGCTGTTGCATTTAAAGTCATATTTTTCTTTTTACCAGTTACTGTTAGAGATGTACAAAGCTTTGTATAAGCTATTGGATTTAGCTGGACTTCCATGAAATGATTATATTGGTGATATTTATTCATAGCCTTGTATCAGGCAGTAACAGGGAGGCTACTTATTGGTTTGGCATAATTCATTCATTCATTCATTCATTTATTTATTTATTCATTCACTCAATAAACTAGACATAGCTCCTAGTGGAAAAATGAAAACAACAACAATAGCTATTTGTTTCTGGAGTTTTTTCAGTGCATGCAAACTGCCAGCTTCTGTACTAGGCTCTTTTTGGACCAGGCATTTATTTATCACAAAAATTCCACAAGAATATACTATTCCCATTTCATGGATGATGAAATTGAGATATATAGGAAGTATAGAGTCAGCATTGTAACCCTGATTGCTAATCCAGTTAGGTTTGGCCTTAACTTTTGCAATAGTTTATACAATTCATAGCATTGTCAAAACCAAAGGTGTAAGTCTTAAAACACTAAGAAGGGAATCTATTCATGGTTCTTAGCAGTTCTTCAGCAGTGTGTTAATAGGTTAGGGTCTTGAGGTTCAGGTGCCATCAAGATAATAACTGTCCTTAGATTGAATACTGCCTTAACTATATATACATGATCTTATTTAATACTTACAATAGTCCTATGGGCTATGTATGGTTATTTAATGTCCCTTTTACAAAAAGGCAGGGGAAGCCCCAGAGTGCTCAAGTAATTTTTCCATGGATAAACAGCGTATAAGTAAGAAAGACAACTCTTCCATCACTTCAATGTGTTGCCTTCTGCTACTTTAGAAAAAATGTATTTGTGTCTAACAATGAAGCATCAATGAACATTCACAGTATTTTCTGTCTTCTTTGGAATATTGTGCAGGGCTATAAAATAACGGGTAATTCCACCAGCTGCAATTAGTATTGTTACATTTCAAAAATGGTGAATTCATTCATAAAAAATTGAAAATATTCTACAGTAACACTGTTTAATTTTGAAAATGTTCTATATCAACATAAAAATGTCCTATATCACTAGCTACACATGTTTATGGAGCATTAAAAATGTGATAGAACTAAATAACATTTTAAATTTTATTTAATTTCAATGGTTTTAAAGTTAATAGCCTTGTATAACTACTTGATATCACATTGAATATCATATCCTAAATACTCCCAATGAGTTTAAATATGACGTTCACAATACAGAGTGGATTTCTATCCATGCAAAAATATTTACTAAGCATGTGTTGCATATTGGGGATATAATAATAAATAAGATGCCCTTCTTGACTTTAAGGGATCTTAAAGGACACAATCATGTAAGCAAATAATGGAAATGTGGAAAGATAAATTTTATCATATATAGATATAGATATAGATATAGATATAGATATAGATATAGATACAGATATATAGATATAGATATATAAAAGCCTAAGTGACCGAACAACCGAATGGCCAGTCAACTGGTTGCTATGATGCACACTGACCACCAGGGGGCAGACACTCAACGCAGATGCTTCCACCTGGTGGACAGTGTGCTCCCACAGCAGGAGTGCCGCTCAGCTGACTGATGGGTGCCAGATGCAGGGCTCATGGCTGGCCACAACAGCCCGGAGACCCCAGAGGAGCGGTAGTGAGCCCCCTGAGCGGCAGCAGTGGCAGGTGCAGTGGGGCCAGGATAAGCAGGAGTGGTAGGCAGGAGTGGCAGGCGGCGTTGGACTGCCAGTATCAGCTTGATCCCAGCAGGCTATGCCAAGGGACGACAACTATGCATGAATCCGTGCACCAGGCCTCTAGTCTACACTAATAAAAGACAAAGATGCTAATTGACCATACCTTCCCTACACCCTAAGCCATGTCCACCAGCCAATCAGAGCAACTATATGCAAATTAACCCAACCAAGATGGCAGCGGGCAGTCACAGAGCTGGAGCAAGCATGAGGCTTGGTTGCCCGGGCAATGGAGGAAGCCAAGCTTCCCGCCGGCCCTGAGCCGGCTGTGGCCTCCGCTCATGGCAACAAAGTTTCAATTATAGAAGACAAATAAATCCCAGATACCTGCTTCCAGCCAGCCTCCTCAGCAGCACTAAGGATGTCTGACTGCAGCTTAGACCTGCTCCCCACTGGCAAGTGGAAATCCCCCGAGGGCTCCTGGACTGCCAGAGGGATGTCTGACTGCCAGCTTAGGCCCGATCTCCCAGGGAGCAGGCCTAAGCCAGCAGGTGGGCATCCCCCGAGGGGTCCCAGACTGCAAGAGGGCACAGGCCGGGCTGAGGGACCCCCTCCCTGAGTGCACAAATTTTTGTGCACCAGGCCTTTAGTAGTAATATAAGCAAGTTACAGCAGATTTCAGGAAAAGAGCTATCAGCTTTGCCAGGGGAGCAGAATATGCACAGAGAAATATGGAAGACCTCACTGAGACAGGTAATGGTTCAGGTGGGTTTTAATGAATGTGAGAGTTCAACAGGGAGACTTTAGGGAAAGGGGCTTCAAGGCAGAGAGTAAGTTCAAAGACTCAGAGGTGTACCTCGGCAAGTCTTCTCTGGTGGGCTGGCATAAAGGAGCACTTACTCAGATGCTTCACTTTCTCTGAAGCACAGGCAGTAGTTTACAACCAGAGATATATACACAGAGCTGAGGACAGCATTAGGGGAAACCACCTTCTCCTCTTCCCACGGGATTGCTGAGTCCCAAAATATCAATTTCCTAGAATGTTCAATAGGAGGGAGAAAATGTCTTCTCTCTTACAATCCCAAGGAGCCTACACTCATAGTGAAGAGGAGGTTTCTATTAGAAAGCATTCAGGTGTTCAAGGTCCGTGTCATCACTAGATTTATTTTTTTTCCAAACAGGACCTGGAATGCTGCACCCTTTTGCTTTAGTCCTTCCTGCTCCATATTGTACCTTTCCTCTTGTAGGGCAAAAGCTTGCAGTTACCATGCTGCTTAATTAACAACTGAGTGAGGGACAGGTGGGGGTAGAAGAATAGGGAAGACCGTTTTGGACTTTTATCTCCAAGGCAGATCCTGCATTATACCCTTTCCATCAGCAAAGTTATTTCTAATTTTGTTTCAGGAACAACAGGAGATAAAGGACTGACCTTTTAGTATCCCTCTC